CAAATGGGCTACGACATATGACACTGGTAGCACAGCTCTGGACACACAGTAGCTTTGGCTGCTCTGGCACATTGTCCCTGTTGTCACATGCCCTTGCTCCATGAGGGAAGGAAAGGCAGCAGTCTGCTGAGCTCCAAGTTGACTCGCTCCTCAAGGAATGTTGGTTGAGCCTTTGCTATGCGCAGGTGTGGCGCTAGGGGCCAGAATATGGTGGTCGTGGCCTCACTGAGTTCACTTGCCAGCTTCGACAGGGCGGGTGACCGCAGGCTGCTGGGAGGAGGGTACGGACGAAGGTGAGGAGGAGGAGGCAAAGGTTCCAGCAAACCTGAACCTGAGCAATCGGAGAGGCTCATCCGCTTTCCTGTTTTTAAAGAGAGCAAGTTACCGAAGAGGGTTTGGATTTTTCAGGTTCTCCATGATATGCCCCCCTCTCGAGGCGACTGAATATCACGGTTCAGAAGGTGCCATCTGAATCCCAGGGACTCCCTGTAGGATCTTCCTCAGTCGAACTCCTGTAGCCCCTGCCCCTCCAGCCTCCCCCCAGCTGATGGCAAGACCTCGAGAACATGGGACGGCATGCAAACCAACCTCAGGACGGGAGTCCCAAGCCCTGTGGGCTTCACCCCTAAATCACCCAAATATCTGGTCCCAGAAAATAGCCTCGTCAGACACTTAAAGCCTCCCAGACACCACGGTGCCTTTGCTCTGGGGACCCTGTGTACTGGATCCTCCATACTGCCTGAAATCAGGCCGAGTCTGGCTGCAAGAGACCCAAGATGGACAGGAAGGCGGGCAAGGACGTGGAAGACAAAGGTGGGGATTAGGGAGAAGTCCGGGTGGAATCGGGAGACAGAGAGGCACTCGTGCTTACCTAGCAAGGTGGACAGTGGCTGCCTTTTTTTTTTTTTTAAAGATTTATTTATTTGAAAGAGAGAGAATGAGAGAGAGAGAGCACATGAGAGTGGGGAGGGTCAGAGGGAGAAGCAGACTCCCTGCCGAGCAGGGAGCCCGATGTGGGACTCGATCCCGGGACTCCAGGACCATGACCTGAGCTGAAGGCAGTTGCTTAACCAACTGAGCCACCCAGGCGCCCCGGTGGCTGCCTTTTGAAGGAAAATGTGCTACCTGTTGGCCACTTCCGGAAGGGTAGCCTCAGCTTTGTGATTAGAGGATGTGTGTCCATGGTGGCCAGGCTGTCTTCTGGCCAGAGAGACTGTTGCGACTTGGGAATGAGACTCTGTCATCACGGCAGCAGAACCAGCACAACACCCAGAATGCAGCAGGGGCAGCATGAGTCTCCAGGTGCAAGAAGGAAGATGAACATCACCCGGGCAATGCTGGATACTGAGGAAGCCCCTGCCTCTGCCCCACTCCTGCGCTCCGAGCATGTGCAGTGGCCTGTCCCTCAGTCTGACAGTCTTCTTGCCTGCATATTCTTGTAATACACTGGAGATCAGTGGGGTTGGGTCAGCTCTGCCACGAAAGTAAGCTTGGACCCAGGAGAAGCCTGTTTCTACCACTGCGTCCTCTGCAGGTCTTGATTTAGGTAAACACTACAAAGGTGAGGAATTAGAAGAGAAGGTGCTTACTCACATACCCCTTTGCCTACACTGGCCCTGCCTGAGCAGCCCCACTAGTGGGAGGCTAAGGGAACAGCACGTACAAGGCTCTGTGGTAGCAGGCCGCAAAGGAAGAAGGCAACAGGGTTTATGCCATTTGCTGAGACTAGAGAGGCCAGCCAAATAAAGGAATCTGGTACATGAGTATGGTAATGGCTTTTTCCTAAAAGCAAAAATCCTCTCCAGATTTCTTTTGGTTAGTAAAAACAGGCAGCAATGTAGGTCTTTTGTAAAAGTAAGGTGGCATGATGCAAACTTTCCAAAACCTGGGGTACTCATTGCTTTACACCATTCTGACTTACAAAAGGCTTCATGGGAAAGTTCTGACTTCAGCTAGTGGGGAAACCTGTATCCTAAAAGCAATGGGAAGGAACAGAAGAACTTTAGGCAAGAAGATGATAGATTCTTCTCAAAGAGAGATAGGTCTGGCAGCTCATTTGGGGAATGGACTGGAAGTGGGGGGACCAGGAGGAGGTGAGAGGTGAAAGTGACCGGTACTGAGGAAGAGGTAGTGGGAATGGAGAAGACACCCCTGGGAGATGTTTGGGGGTTGAACCAGAATGATCTGGAGATGCTGTTAAAGGGGAGAAGGGGGCAGAGGGGAGTAGGTGTCAGAGATGACATTCAGGTCAGCTCTGGAGCCAGACCCTGGGCTTCCCCCCTGTTTCCTCTTGTGTCCACTGCCAGCAAGCGCCTGGATAATTTCTCATAGCCCCTTCTCCCAAATTGTCCAGGTCTGTCCACAGATACTGGAGTCTTCTGAAGGACAAGGCTTTGCAGAAGAAGGGAGGGAGGGAGGTTGGGAGGGAGGAGGGAAGGAAGGAGGAAGGAAGGAAGGAAGGAAGGAAGGAAGGAAGGAAGGAAGGAAGGAAGAGGGAGGGGGAGGGGAGGAAAGAAGGAATGGGACAAGGAGGCTTCACTAATGCGTGTTTATTTCCCCCTGCACAGGACAGGGCAGAGAGATGGCCTCGGACGAGGTAAAAAGGAGAACAGGCCACTCACTCAGTTGGCTAAAACCCGCCTGCTACTTGAGTATGAGTGTTCACATGTCCCTGTGTGTATAAGGGTCTGGGTATGTCTGTGTTTCTGTGATTGGCTTTGTATGGTCACCTCAAGGCCATGACTAGCGATGCTAGTTAGTTTAAGGACTGAAGTTGAACGTTACTGAAAATTATTCTGCCTGGCTGATCTTCTACAGAGATGGTGCCCACTTTCTCTGGTTCACCACTGCCTGTCTGTGCTGGGCTAGAGTTTCCTCCAAGTCTTGGGGTGTAAGACATCTGGCCCCTGGAAAAAAGCTAACAAACCTCGAAAAACTAAATTCTCCCTTCTTATTTCTTGTCAGCAGCTGCTATTTATCCTGGATTTCCTCCCTACCTCTTCGATTGTTTATACTCCCCACTTCCTGGGGGGCTATTAAGAGTGGAATAGAGAAGTTGTTTATTCCCCAAACCAACATTTTTGTCTTGGAGACCAGCCAATCCAAGAGTTTTTTTTTTTTTAAGATTTTATTTATTTATTTGAGAGAGAGAGAATGAGAGATAGAGAGCACGAGAGGGGTCAGAGGGAGAAGCAGACTCCCTGCTGAGCAGGGAGCCCGATGCGGGACTCGATCCCGGGACTCCAGGATCACAACCTGAGCCAAAGGCAGTTGCTTAACCAACTGAGCCACCCAGGTGCCCCATCAATCCAAGAGTTTCTCCTCCCCTTTCCCCACTTGCTGGCTTCATGAGTGGGTGTGGGGCTGCTGGCCAGCAGTAGGGGGAGAAAGGAGGGAGCCAGGTCTGAGTTTGGGCTCCCCAGCTACCCAGGGCATGGACATACCCTAGGGGATGCACACTCTGCAGTGGGGCTGCCCAGACAACCCTCCAGTTGCAGTAGTCAGAGAGCAGACCCACCTCAAGCACCGTGCCACTGGTTTGCCCTTCACCCCTGCCTGCCTGCACCCGAGCACCAGCATATGCACAATCACTCAGATATACCCAAGCTGGCAGAGTTTTGGTCATTTCCTTTCTAGGGTGGTTTCTAAGGTCTCCAGTCTTCAGACTTGGTCACTACTCCTGCACTGGTCACTCCTGTCACCTGGTCCCAAAGGTCAAGCAGCTCCATAGGGTACCAAGGTTCACAGTAGAACCTTGAGAGGTTGAGAGGAAGGAGTTTGAGCAGAGACCTTGAAGCGTCTCAGTGGCAGAACTTCGGGGGAAAAGATGCATTCTGCTGTGTGCGTGTGTGTAAGGAGGTGGTTCTTGGAGGAGGCAACTAGGGTGAAGGCCTGAGGCTAGGAATGAGGGTGGGGCCTTCAGAGGAAGAACACAATTCAGCCTAGAGTTTTCTGGGAGAGCTAGAGCTAGAGCCACAGGAGATAAAAGATAACGCGGATCAGAAGCCAGATGCCAGGCCTTTCCTTAGGAGCCACACTTCTGACTTCAGTGAAGACAGGGCTTCCACACTGAGGTAGGTGGGATCCTGATCAACAGCTCAGCCAGCAGTTCTGGAAGGAATGTTGCTGGGATGGGGGGGCGTACTCTGCTGCCCTAAAAATGACTTAATTTCCTTCCACTCAAACAGCTTACTGAGTTCCTGCTCTGTTCAGTAAGCCACCCCTGACCCTCCCCAGAAGGTTTGCTCAGTTCACATTCCAAAAATCCCTCCATTCAGACCCAGGGAGGTGTAGCATCTGCTGAGGAGGGAGCTCTTTCCTGAGACTTACGGGAAGGCTAGGGGAGGGGCGCCCCTGACAGTTCCCAGTTCAGGCTTGAGTCCCCCAGGGGATGGACAAGTAGGCAAGGAAGTAAGGTAGGGGAGAGAGAGGTCAGGGGCAAAGGACCTTTTCCTGAATGCAAAGTCCACAAGCTTAACCCCTCATTTCCAGAAACTCTCAGCTCCCCACCCCACCCTCACTGTGGCTCAGCCCAGGAATCCGAGAGCTCAGAGTACTGTGGCCAGAGACATTTGCACGTAGCCCTCAGGGTGGCTGGTGCAGGATGCAGGCAAACTGGGGACGTGATGTGGTTGAGAGAGGCCTCACGGCCGCGGGCTACTCTCTGGGAGGAGCACCCCAAGCCTTCTGTCTTGCAGAGCAAGGTTAGAGGCAGCAGCAGAGCAACCTGGGTCAGTCCCTCGGAGCACGCGGGGTGAGGCGAGAGGCGACAGGAGAGAGAGCCCGCCCAGAGGGTGGTGTCCTGTAGGCGGGAGGCTGGAGGCTGGGGGCGGGGACGGGGGGCGGGGGGAGGAGGAGCGTGTGCCTCGGCGGAGAGCCGGGGTCCAGGGTCCTGCGTGGTCCGAGTCGACGCTCCAAACTTTATCGTCGCCCTCCGCCCCTCGCCACCCGTCTCGGGCTCCCGACACCGGCCCCTGCCTGCCTGTCCTGCCCTGCGCAGCATGCAGCCCCTAGGCCTCGAGGGTACCCCCGCCATCCGCCGGCGACCTCTGCTGCGTCTCCTGCTCCTGCTGTCTCTGCTGCCGCCGCGGCCGATAACCCGCGCCCAGACCACACCGGGAACCCCCAGCTCCCGGACCCCGCCGGCCACCTCCAGCGCCCCAAGTCTGCGGGAGCGCGTGCGAGCCCTGATGCGGGACTTCCCTCTTGTGGACGGGTGCGTAGGTGCGGTGTGGGGGCGCGTGGAGACTGAGCCCACCCCAAAGGGGGTAAGGAGTTCTCAGCGTGCAGGGCTACTGAGGAAGCTCCCTCATACCACCCCTGGATGCACTCTCCCATCATCCATGGGCGCCTTTTCCCTTCCTCTGTCACTGCGCCCCTGCTGGGAACCCCCCAGCCTAGTGCTCAAGGGGTCCTAGTATAGTCTGTGTGACAGTGTGGTGGGCGGGGCATCCCCCCACCAACGTTGGCTCATGTCCTGCTTGATCCCGAGGCTTAAGGAGCCCACCCATTTGCCCCTGACCGGATCTTGCCTTGCCCACCCTCCAGCCACAACGACATGCCGGTTGTGCTGAGGCAATTTTACCGCAACGGGTTACAGGATGTCAATCTGCGCAATTTCAGCCGTGGCCAGACCAGCCTGGACAGGCTTAGAGACGGTCTCGTGGGCGCCCAGGTACCACACTGACGCATAGCATGGCTGAGAGGGAGTGTGGGGGCCCCAGAGACCACAGGTTAATCACATGAGAACTCAGTTACCTTACGGCCCCCCAAAATGCTACAACATGATGCTGGGGGCTGCAGGGGTCACAGTGAACTAGTCTGGTGGGCATCCAAGTACTACAGAATAAGCAGTGCATTACAAGTGACCATTTTTGCTGTGTGGGCTGTGAAGGCGAGAAGCCCACGGAGCTCCAAAGCAACCCCTGCCCAAGCCAACCCATGGCCTTCCCTCAGTTCTGGTCAGCCTACGTCCCATGCCAGACCCAGGAACGGGATGCCCTGCGCCTCACCCTGGAGCAAATTGACCTCATCCGCCGCATGTGTGCCTCCTATTCTGAGTTGGAGCTTGTGACTTCAGTTAAAGGTAGGCAGACAAGTGGGGGTTGTTAGGGACTTGTTTGAATACTCCAGCCTCTGAAAGTGATCACCTGACCTACCTGCCCCCAGCTCTGAACAACACCCAGAAGTTAGCTTGCCTCATTGGTGTGGAGGGTGGCCACTCGCTGGATAGTAGCCTTTCCATCTTGCGTACCTTCTATGTGCTGGGTGTGCGCTACCTGACACTCACTCACACCTGCAACACACCCTGGTGAGCATAGTGCAAATGGTATGTGCCCTCTGATGCAGGCATCTGCCCAAGATCATACTGGGGCTCAGACCAAGCTTTACCCCTGGGATCTGTCACTGACCCTGGAGTGGGGAGGGGAGCAGGGGTTCCCAGAGCAAGACTGGATTCCCAGCAGGGACTGCCTCCTGCCAGGCACAGCCCAGCTTGGGTCTCTGCTCTTGCTCCAGGGGGGTGCTGGTATAGAGGATTCAGTAGGCTCTTGTAGCCAAGTCATGGCCACCATTCAGACTGCCTCCTGGTCATCCTGCAGGGCAGAGAGCTCAGCTAAGGGCATCCATTCCTTCTACAGCAATGTCAGTGGGCTGACCAGCTTTGGTGAGGTGAGGACCCTAGTTCCCTACCCTGCCCCCCATGAATGTGCATGTCCCACCAGTTAGTTCCCTACAGAAAAATGCATGGGCATGTGCACCCCTGATGCCCTTTCCCCAACCTGTCCCTGCAGAAGGTGGTGGTGGAAATGAACCGCTTGGGCATGATGGTAGATTTGTCGCATGTCTCAGACACTGTGGCTCGGCGAGCCTTGGAAGTGTCACAGGCACCTGTGATCTTTTCCCACTCGGCTGCCCGAGGTGTGTGCAAGAATGCCAGGAACGTTCCTGATGATATCCTACAGCTTCTGGTGAGACTGCCCTGGCCCTCAAACCTAAAGCTAGAGGTTTAAAGCAGGAGCCCTTGAGCCTGAGCCCGTGTTCCCTCATCTTCCTCAAACCCTAGACTGAACATCTGCCCCACAAACCCACAGTCCACAGCTCCTGAATTCTTGCTCAAGTGTGGGGGTTCTAAGTGGTAAATACTCCAAGACATTTCCATCCCAACAAGAGCTGAGACTCCTCCATTCACACAAACCTAGAGGTGTAGTCTCCTCTGAACTCAAAGCCAGAGCTAAACATCTTCCTTACCGGAGCCAAGAGGCAGGTAGTTGTTCTGGGGTCAAAGCTGAATGTCCATTTGTCCACCCCTGCAGAAGAAGAATGGAGGCATCGTGATGGTGTCTTTCTCAGTGGGGGTGCTGCAATGCAACCTGTTAGCCAATGTGTCCACTGTGGCAGGTAAGCCCCGCCTGGGCTCTCTGAATAACTCTGATTTGGACCTGAAGCCTTGGGGGGAAGGCCTCAGTACAGCCCCAGTGGTCTGACCCATTCTTGGCTGTAGACACAGCTCCTAAAAACTCAATGATGGATGGTATAAAGCACCTTGGTGCCATATGGAACTGAAGACACAGAGTTGGTAACTATGATACTTATGGGTATAAGGGAGGCAGTCAGACATAGAGCCCAGGTGCCAACCATCTGTGCCTCTGCAGGGGCTCCCAGAGCTCCCTGCCCCTGCGTCTGACCAAGGGACTGGGCAACCCCTTAAGTCTCTGTGGTCTTTGTCAGTTGTATTCTTTGTCTCTTGCTCATCCTCCACACCCATGGAAAGGAGCCCCGATGGTTCTCAAGGAGAATGGAGGCAGGGTGATCCTGGATGAGAAATGGCCCAAATGGGGTCCACTCCAAATCTAAATTCCAGTCTAGAGACAACTGGCATCAGCTTCCTCAAGTTAGTACACTGGGTGCCAGAAGGAACTGGCCTGCGTGGCCTACGGGCTGCAAGAAGGGGAATCAGCAGAGTGCAGTCCCCAGCTCCCCCTGCCCTGGAAGTCCCACACTGCTGACTCTCCATCCTCCAGATCACTTTGACTACATCAAGACAGTCATTGGATCCAGGTTCATTGGCATTGGCGGAGATTATGATGGGGCCAAACGGTAAGCGCTTCTCTATGGCTTGTCTGGGGTTGGCTGTGCCACAGTAGGGCCTTGACAGTCACCATGCCCACCACACCGTGATCCTTATAACCTTTAGGCCCACCTCGCATCTCTCCACACCCAGAGTCTGTTTCCTGGGCCCTTCTGTTTGTCTGTGACCCCTTGGCTTCACTCTAGGTCATCATCATCATCTGCCCAGCAGGTACACCCACCCTTAGTGCCAGCAGATCTATTGCTTCTTTTTTTAAGTTTTATTTATTTAACTAATCTTTACACCCAATGTGGGGCTTCAACTCACAATACCGAGATCAAGAGTCACATGCTCTTCCGACCAAGCCAGCCAGGGTGCCCCTGACCCACTGCTTCTGAGCAGAGTCTTAAGCAAGGTCTGGTGTGAACTCACCCTTTCCTCTGCCTGCAGCTGGGTCTGTGCCTATAGGAGGTCAACTCAGTTCTTAAAAAGCTTTTCTTCTTTTTATAAATGGAGGGAAACTTTGTATTCAGTGAAACGCATAGATCTTTTTTTTTTAAATAGGCTCCATGCCCAGTGTGGAGCCCAAAATGGGGCTTGAACTCATGACCCTAAGATCAAGACCTGAGCTGAGATCAAGAGTGGGATGCTTAACTGACTGACCCACCAAGGCGTCCCAGCATAGACCTTAACAGTACAATTCAATGGGTTTTTATGAATATTCAAAGTGGTTAAGAGCTTCCTTTTGCAGGATAAAGAGCAGGTATGAATCACTTACCCTCTCCAAGTCTCCCTTTCCCATATCTGACCAGAGCTGGGGTTCAGTAGACCTGGATACATGGGGCTGTGGTTCTGAGTCATGAACAGGGAACAGGGCTGAGGTTCCACAGCTGGCTGGCTCGCGGCCACACAGGTTCCCTCAGGGGCTGGAGGACGTGTCCACGTACCCGGTTCTGATAGAGGAGTTGCTGAGTCGTGGTTGGAGTGAGGAAGAGCTCCAGGGTGTCCTTCGCGGAAACCTGCTGCGGGTCTTCGGACAAGTGGAACAGGTATGCTGGGCTGGGCAAAAGAGTAGCACATGGGCCTGAGCAAGTGTGTTGGAGTTGCTTTGGGAGCTGCTGAGCCCTGACTGCTACTTCCAGGTACGGGAGGCAAGCAAGGGGCAAAGCCCCCTGGAGGATGAGTTCCCGGATGAGCAGCTGGGCAGTTCTTGCCGCTCTGTTCTCTCACGTCTGCATCAGACACAGTACCTGGCTCCAGATCAGAAACTAACTGAGACTTCAGCACATTGGACACCTAAGTGGTCACCTAAACAATCATTGTCAAAATCTCCCCCCAACATGGCTCCAGGCCTCACAGTTATTGCTGCCTGTTTAGTCCTCATTCTGTGGTTCTGGTGACCCAGTTCATCCTACCAGATGTTACTATGGCAGCCGCAGACACCCCACAATGTTCCCCCATCATTCAGGCACAAATGACATGGAACCAGGCATGAGTGTCCTTTTCTGTGGAGGGGTCTGGTGGCACAGGCTCCCCATTCTGGTGGTTGGTAGGGGACCCTGCAGTTCAGCCACCAGTTACTCAAGTAAGACCTGAGTCTCACTAGCAGGACAGGAGAAGACCCTGATGGTTGGGCTCAGCACTGGAAGAAGATAGTGGATCAGGGTGCCCGGGTGGCTCCATCGTTAAGCATCTGCCTTTGGCTCAGGTTGTGATCCCAGGGTCCTGGGATCGAACCCTGTGTTGGGCTCCCTGCTCAGTGGGGAGCCTGCTTCTCCCTCTCCCACTCCCCCTGCTTGTGTTCCCTCTCTCGCTCTGTTTCTGTCAAATAAATAAATAAAATCTTAAAAAAAAAAAAAAAAGAAGAAGAAGAAGACAGTGGGTAGCTCCAGCTGTGGGAGAGTGGATCTTCTGGGTTGCCTCTCAATAGCTCACCTCAGTCCACATCCTGACACACTGGGGATCTGAAGGGAACTCTGGTTCAGATTCCCAAGAAGGGAACCTGCCCGGATCATAAATGATCTTTGTTCCTATTTGGACAGAGCCCAGAATGCCAGGCTACATGATGAGCCATGGGCCTCCAATGACTGAACTTCCCTGGATGTGGACCCACCCCCTCCCCTGCCCCTCTGGGACTTCCTCTCTGAGAGGCACAAACTACTTAGAAACTCATACTGTCTTATCTCCAGGCCAGTAATGGTAATAGCGACTGCATTAATAATAGCCAAAATTAAGAGTTAATGCTAATAATGACAGCTAATAATAATAAATAACATATGATAATAGATAATGGGTTATAAAAATAATAGTTAATACTAATAGTCTATGCATACCCCGTGACTGAGTAATTTCACCCCAGGTATATATCCAACAGGAATGCATACACAGGTTTTCCAAAAGGCATATGAAATAACATTTAAAGCAGCACTCTTCATAATAACCCCAAAGTGTGTAGTTCAAAGACTGGGTGGCTCAGTCAGTTGAGCGTCTGACTCTTGATTTTGTCTCAGGTCATGATCTTGGGGTCGTGAGATAGAGCTGGGGGTCAGGCTCAGCACTGGATGTGGAGCCTGCTTGAGACCTGCTTGAGATTCTCCCTCTCCCTCTGCACCCACCCCCCACCCCCCACTCGCATGCACACACTTGTCTCTCTAAAAAAAATAAATAAATAAATTAAAATCACATTAATTTGAGGAACAACTGACAACTGAATTTTACTGGAAATAATGGAAATCCATACACACTGGAATATATTTAGTCTGATGAATGAAAGTAACTACCAGTGTTCCATTCTGTGCACAGTGAAAATATTCTTCAAAAATGAAGGAAAAGTAATACATTTCCAGGCCAACACAAGCAGACTGAGAAAGTGAAAATACACAAATCACCTAATGAAAATACCAATTATTATGGGAAAAGTGCATATCGAATAGAAATTAAGGATATCAGAGATGCCTGAATTTCACATTTGAAGTGAAGGTATGAAAATTTAAACAAAGTGTCTTCAGATTTTGAATTTTTAACTGGAGAAAAGTTATGTTCTGTGAATACATATGATTTGTCAAAAACAGCCATTGATTTGACTCTTACATATTCTGAAATTTTAAGTCTGTAGAAATTCCATCTAAAATAGTTTTAAGAGGGGCGCCTAGCTGGCTCAGTTGCTGGAGCATGTGACCCTTGATCTAGGGGCTGTAGGTCTGAGTCCCGCTTTGGGTGTAGATATTACTTAAAAATAAAATCTTAAAAAATAAAATATTTTTAAGAAACACACAACAATAATACTTAGCATTGTATTTGGATTTTTAAAAATCAATTTTAAAAATTGATTAACGATTTTTGTTAGTGGAATTTTATGCAAATTTGGACATGGCCTTGAAAAAAATTTTAACTATACCAGTCACGATGGCGTCCTATAAAAGAAGTTTCATAAGCTGCAGTTATTTAAAAATTATTTAAGATTCTCACTTGGTAAAGAGAAATTGACAAACATTCAATCTCTCAATAGAAAATGAGCTAAGCAAAGAAGTAGATTTTGAAAATATTATTTATGAGATGTTAATTGTCACTATCAGGGAAATGCAAATGAAAACCACAATGAGGTATCGCCTCACATCTGTCAGAATGGCTGAAACCAACAACACAAGAAACAACACATGTTGGCAAGGATGTGAGAAAAAGGAACACTTGTACACTGTTGGTAGGAATGCAAGCTTGTACAGCCACTGTGGAAAATAGGATGGAGGTTCCTCAAAAAGTTAAAAATAGAACTATCATACAGAGCCAGCAACGGCACTACTGGGTTATTTACCCAAAGAATACAAAAACACTAATTCAGGGCACCTGGGTGGCTCAGTTGGTTGAGCGACTGCCTTCCGCTCAGGTCATGATCCTAGAGTCCCGGGATGGAGTCCCGCATTGGGCTCCCTGCTCAGCAGGGAGTCTGCTTCTCCCTCGGACCTTCTTCCCTCTCATGCTCTCTCTCTACCATTCTCTCTCTCTCAATAAATAAAAATCTTAAAAAAAAAAGAACTTTGAAAACCTCATTTAAAAAAAAAACACTAATTCAAAGGGATACAAGCACCCCCATGTTTATAGCAGCATTATTTATAAGAGCCAAATTATGCAAGCAGGCCAAGTGTCCATCGAGGGATGAATGGATAAAGAAGATGAGATATATTTATATACAATGGAATTATTCAGCTATAAAAAAAGAATGAAATCTTGCCATTTGCAATGACATGGATGGAGCTAGAGAGTATAATGCTAAGCAAAATAAGTCAGTCAGAGAAAGACAAATACCATATGATTTCACCTATGTGGAATTTAAGAAAAAAAACAAAGGGAAAAAAGAGAGAGACAAATCAAGAAACAGACTCAACAATAGAAAACAAACTGATGGTTATCAGAGTGGAGGTGGGTCGGGGGATGGGGAAAATAGGTGATGGGGATTAAGCAGTGCACTTGTCGTGATAAGTACCGGGCAATGTATGGAATTGCTGAAACTAATATAATATTGTGCACTTGAGACATATAATACTGTATGTTAACTAACTAGAATTAAAATGAAAACTTAAAAAGCCAAAAAAAAGAAAAGAAAGAAAATTTTATTCATGAGTTTGCCTCCATTAAAGCCAGTTAAGTAAAATTATAATAAATTCTGGTTTGGGTATGAGTAAAATAATGTTGTGAGTTAATACACCTACTTTTCAGTTTTTAAATATTTTCAACTATTTTAGTGTTCTAGAAAAGTTCCTCATTAAAAATACATTAAAAACCTATATAGGAACACACACACATTTTCCTTTTGCCTCAGGCTCCAAACTGGCTGTGCTCTGCAGTGCTTTACTCAGAAAGTTCTAATAGTGCTTTCTGTTCACTTTACCTACTCTCTCCTTTCTTGACTCCTTTGGGTGGATTGAGTAGCACTCTAAGGTGGCCTTAATCCCTTTACAGATCCTTCCAAGAGGAGCTGATCCAGCTCAGGGTCCATCTAGGAAAAAATGGGAAGAGGTGGTAGAAGATAGAAGCTTACGGGAGGGCCCTGTGTTGCTGGGGAGCAGACCTCTTGAGGAGAGGACCTTGCTCAGCGGTGCAGGTGTTCTAAACACCAGTGGCAAGGCTGCTCTGTGACAGCCAGAAGTTGGAGACTGCAGCCAACTGTCACTGCTGGAACAGAAAAAAACTGCCTTTCAGTTTCCTCTGTAGCCCCTATTGGCAGAATGCCAGGAAGCCAGCTAGGGTTCTAGGAAATATGGTTTTAAGAGTTTGAGCCCCAGCTTCACAGAGCAGAAAGCAGAAGACTGCATTTGGAGTTGAGAGACAATTGCTTAATAACCAGAGTTTCTGCAGGCCTGGGGTAGGTTCACTCGTTCTTTCTCCTAGGTGCATTCTTTTTTGTGTTCTAACTCAAAACAAAGTGTTCATCAGGGTCCTCCTTACTTTGGTGGACCCTGGATGCTAATCTCTGTCTCTTTAGACCAACAATACCCCTTGTGGAAGAGACAGCCCAAAAGTTGGGCTCATCTCTGGGTTTCCACCCTGGCTGGATCCTCATAAGTAATTTTTTTTTAATATCTTGTTTAACTCTCTGATGTCTTCAGGAAGATCCTTTTTATATTTTGCCCAACTTTTCCAGTTGTTATCAGGAAGAGTGTAACTCTGATTTACTTAGTAAACCAAAACCAGACATTTGAAATGGTGTTTATGTATTAACTTGATGACATTAAAAATTAATTATAAACATCATGCCCTCTCCTTTCACCTAAGACTATTATACAAAATAGCTGTATGTACAATACTTCAGAACTTTTTAAAATATATTTATTTGTTTATGAGAGAGTTAGAGAGCAGAGTGGGAGGGACAGGAAGAGGGAGAGAGAATCTCAAGCAGACTCCTCACTGAGTGTGGAGCCCGACATGGGGCTCAGTCTCACAACCCTGAGATCATGACCTGAGCTGAAACCAAGAGTCAGACGCTTAACGGACTGAGCCACCCAGGTGCCCCAATACTTCTGAACTTTTGATAAACTATTAGCAAATTCATCATTCATTATGTCATTTATGTCACTTAAATGAAAACCTCCCATGGCAAGACAGCTCAGTATATGAGAGACCAGCACAAATATTCTGTCTCTCCCTCTGTCTCTCTGTCTCTCTGTCTCACACCTGAGAGAGACAAGCTGGAGGCAGCAGGGTCAGACTTAGTCCTTAACCCCTAGGCATGAGTAGGTAGCAGTGATGAACAGGAGGCAGTGGGGACCAGAGTTAAAGGCCCTTCTCTGGTGCACAGAAGGGGAGGCCCAATTATCAGGGAGCTCAGATGGGAGAATAGGTGACAGGCCCAGACACAGAGGGGGGCAATTCAGATTTTAGTCTGTGCTATAGGCCCCTCTCAGCCTCATAGGACCTGGTGCAGGCCCAGGGAGCCCAGATGCCACCCAAATGCAGTTCTGAGATCAGTTCCCACTGTATCAGGGCTTTTTCTGCAGAAATAATGAATTACACTGTCCAGGCCTCTGGCCATCCTGGAAACCACTTGTCTTGAAGGAGGATTTCTTCCCACATGAAATCATGTGTCAGACCAAGCCCCCTTGTACTCTTACCTGCAAGAACTCTTGTCCCACTATTCTATGCCTTCAAGGACCTTCCAGCTCCTTCCTTACAGATGGAGGTCCTGTCCCAACCAGACCTTTGCCTGGGCTACTGCCCACCCTGGGATGCCCTCT